CTAAAGAAACATAAATGTCCCAATTTCAATGTAGAATTTCCATTTAAACCCACAAATCTATATCATGAATTATAGTTTTATTAGGAGGTACCACTAGGAGTTTTTCCAGTTCAAAGTCATTCAGAGCTAAAAGCATGGCTCCACGGTAGAGTACACTTGCCTAGCATGTATGAAACCCTGGATTTTGTCCCTAGTACTTCACACAAAAAGTAGTAAACTTAAATTTTTAGGGCTGGTCTCACAAGACACTAGGTTAGAAATGAACTTTACAACTTGGGGGGAGGGAATGAAGGGGAGAGAAGGAGGATAGTGGGAAAAAAAGGAAGGAATGGGTAACAATGTTCGACAAGAAATGTACTCATTACCTTACTTACGCAACTGTAACCCCTCTCCGTACATCACCTTTACAACAAAATAATAAAAAAAAATTTAGGCTGGGAATGTGGCTTAGTGGTAGAGTGCTTGTCCAGCATGCACAAAACTCTGGGTTCAACTCCTCAGTACCACATACATATCACAAGCCAGAAGTGGTCTTGTGGCTCAAGTGGTAGAGTGCTAGCCTTGAGCAAAAGAAGCTCAAGGAGTGCCCAGCCTTGAGTTCAAGCCCAGGACTGGCAAAATAAAATAAAATACTACTTCAGAAAACAAATTATAAGGGCTGGGAAGGTAGCTCAGTGGTAGAGCACTTGCCTTGCATGCATGAGGCCCTGGGTTCAGTTCCTCAGCACCATATAAGCAGAAAAAGCCGGAAGTGGTGCTGTGGCTCAAGTGGTAGAGCGCTAGCCTTGAGCTGAAGAGCTGAGGGACAACACCCAAGCCCAGAGTTCAGGTCCCACAACTGACAAAAAAAAGAAAAGAAAAAAAGAAAAAAAGGAAAAGAAAGAAAACCAATTATAGCCAGGTATGGTAGTACACATCTGTAATCTGAGCATTCAGGAGGTAGAGGCAAGAGGATTTTTATTTTTAGTTCCAGGCTAGCCCAAGGCTACTGAGTAAGACCCTATCTCAAAAATAAAATTTAGACATATATGCAGTATACTCAAAGTTACTGAAATTATATGAAATGTTCTAATTCTCAATTCTAAGGACATACATCTTAACTTACATATTATTGTATGCAAGACCTGATACAACTCTAGTAACTGCTTAATTTGATGCTGTTAATATGGCTCAACTACATAATGTTTTCTGTTACACACTAAATTCATTCAGATTGTCTTTCCCAAGAACATTTGATTAGTACCTTTTTTTTTTGTCAGTTGTGGGGCTTGAACTCTAGGTCTGGGCGCTCCCTCAACTCTTCAAGTCAAGGGAAGCAATCTACCACTTGAGCCACAGCACCACTTCCAGTTTTCTGGTGATTTATTGGAGAGAAGTCTCAAAGACTTTCCTGCCCAGGCTGGCTTTGAACCAAGATCCTCAGATCTCAGCCTCCAGAGTAGCTAGGATTAGAGCCATGAGCCACCAGCGCCCAGCTAGTAGTACCTACATTTTAAACAGTGATCTTTACCAATGTGTTGTGAAATTCCAGTGTTAACTGCCACAGCACATATTGCCATTTGACCACGTGATGGTAAAACAAAAATGAGAAACAGAATGTGTCATTTATGCTAGCTCATCTGTAACTAAGTCTCCTCAGTATAATCTTAGCAAGCAAATGCATTCGCTCACTTTAAAATTCCTCAGTACTACATAAACAGAAAAAGCCAGAAGTGGCACTGTGGCTCAAGTGGTAAAGTGCTAGCCTTGAGCAAAAGAAGCTCAGGGACAGTGCCCAGGCCCTGAGCTCAAGCCCCAGGACTGGCACACCAAAAAAAAAAAAAAAAGTTTTGAGTGAGGTACTAATGTCTTATGCCTGTCTAGGTACATAGGAGGCTGAGATTTAAGAATTGTGATTTGAAATCAGCCAGGGCAGGGGCTGGGAAGGTGGCTCAGTGGTAGAGCGCTTCCTTGCATGCATGAGGCCCTGGGTTCGATTCCCCAGCACCACATAAGCAAAAAGAAAAAAAGCCGGAAGTGGTACTGTGGCTCAAGTGGTAGAGCGCTAGCCTTGAGCTGAAGGGCTGAGGGACAGCATCCAGGCCCAGAGTTCAGGCGCCACGACCAGACCCCCCCCCCCCAAAAAAAAAAAGAAATCAGCCAGGGAAGAGAAGTCTATGAGATCCATCTCCAATATAAAAACAAAAGCTTCCAAAAAGCCAAAAGAGGAGGTATGGTTAGCCTTGAACAAAAGAAGCTCAGGGACAGCACCCAAGCCCTGAGTTTAAGCCCTAGGACAGCAACACACAAAAAGAGTTGTTTTAGAAATGTTATTCTTCCGAAGGGTGCCTGTAATCCTTGTTATTCAGGAGGCTGAGATCTGAGGATCACCATTTGAAGCCAGCCCAGAAAGGAAAATCTGTGACACTGTGGCTCAAAGTGGTAAAGCACTATGCTTGAGAAAAAGAGGTTAGAGACAGTGCCCAGGACCTGAGTTCAAGCCCCATAACCAACCCCCCAAAAAAAATTTATTCTAAGGAAAGAAACATACATTGTCATTATTTTACTCTGAATATCTTATACAAACATACACTGTCACTATTTTACTCTGAATATCTTATATGTGCAGCTGTTGAGGTTACTCCAACAATATTAACCACAACCAAGTATGCTCCATCACCAATAAAATAGTAAGCAGTGTCCAAAAGAACTGCTCTAAAAGTGCTCTCTATGGACAAACATGAGCCCTTTAGTACTCAATGAAATCAAGGTTTGGAGAAGCAAGTGCTGAAATAAAACTCCTATTTCCCATGTTCTATTTCCTTAGTCCTCTCAACATTTTTTTATTTCTTTTTCCTTTTGTCAGTCATGGCACTTGAACTCAGGGCCTGGGCACTGTCCCTGAACTCTTTTGCCCAAGACTGATGGCTCTACCAATACCATGGCCTTTCCTGCGCTAGCTGGCTTCAAACCTCAATCCTCAGATCTCAGCTTCCTGAGTAGTGAGAATTACAGGTGTGAGTTACCATGCCTATAACTGCATCCAGCAATTTTTACATTTTCCTTGAGTAATTTTTCATAGTGCCAACCACTACTTCAATTCTGATAAACTTTGATACCAAATCTCTATCCCTATTCCTGACTTATCCCCAAGCTTCAGATTTAACTAGTCAGTTCCACACAGGACATATTCCCTTGTCTATTCTTAATTCATCTCAATTCATTTCCCCTCCAGGCCCATTCTTTTCCCTATATGCCCTACCTTGGTTAGTAGCCTTTTCCAATGACCTAATTTGGTGAGACAGGTGGCATCCTTCACTCTTATGACCCTAGGCCCATAGCTAGTAGTTTCTTACCTGAATCAAAACAAGTCTCTTTGCAAATATCCTTGAGTCCAGCCCTGTTTTCTTCAAATCCATTTTACTCTGCTGTCATCTGTCACTCAACAAATAACATGGAACACTATTCTGCACCAGGCACAGTTCTAATAAGTCATAGTAAATGAGTCCAAATCGTTGCTCTTGCAGACTCACATTCTACAACCCAGCAATGTGAATCTACCTTCATCACTTTCTTGATTTACAATCCTTCCATAGCTCTCTAGTCACATACAGCAGCTGAAGCTTTCAGAGCATACCAGCCCACTGAAGCATATACCATAAAACCAGACAGGCCTGAATCCAAATCCTAGCCTCCTAAACCAAGGTAAAATAGCTACCTGAGCCTAAGTTCCCTTCCTTTTGAAGGACACCTATGTATGCCTCTCACAGTTGTCTAGAGATGGCATCTGTAAGTGCGTATGGTGCTTCCTGTAGGTTCACAGTGGTCTGACATACAAGGCCCCACAATTTGGTCTCTGCTTGATTTTCCACATGACTATCACACTGATATTCCACACATATTATGTTGAGAAATTATGCATAGTTCCACCCAATTCCCACACTTTGCAAGTATTTCCACATTCACATTCATATATTCTCTCTCCTGCCCCCACCCTCTGCAATTATTTCTTCTCATCAGATCTTGCTTCCAACTGTGATAGATTTACCTCCTACTTAATCTTCAGGATTCAGCTCAAAGGGCTGAATGAGGGGTATAGCTCAAGTGTTAGAACATCTGCCTAGCAAATGCGAGTCCCTGAATTTAAACCCCAGAACAGGCAAAGGGAAAAAAAAATTCAGCTGTGCATTGGTGGCTCATGCTTATAATCCTAACTACTGAAGAGGCTAAGATCTAGGACTGTGGTTCAAAGCCAGCCCAGGCAGGAAAGCCTATGAGACTATTTCTAATTAAACACAAACACACAAAAATAGTCAGACGTGGAGGTGTGTCTCAAATGGTGGAACATTATCCTTGAGGGGAAAAAAAAAGAAAAAAGAAAGGACAGTAGTCAGACCCTGAGTTCAATCCCCTGAACTGGCCCAAAAAAGAAAAAGAAATATTCAGCTCAAAAGCATCTTCCCCCAGGATGCTGTCCTCAGTTTCTGCCAGGTAGTTAAATTGTCCCCATTATTCCACAGTACATCCAATTCTCTTCCAAACCAGAACACTTGACTGTGAAAGAATTAATCATAATTGTGCCTGGACAGTAAGCACAAACCAGAATACCTGCTTAACATTTATATATCTCTAAACGGATACAACATTTATCACACCTGCAATTCTTTTCATGTATCTTGACCCTTCCATCCTCAAAAGACATTAAACATCTCAGTTACAATCCTTGTCCATCTTTGTATTTCAAGAATTTAAGTGCCAAGATAGGCAGGGTTGATTTGAAAAAGTTTACAGTAAATCCTGCTACAAGCTACTAATGTTCACTACAAGATACCATTTCTTTCTTTCTTTCTTTTTGTTTTTTTGCTGGTCATGGCCCTGAATTCTGGGCCTAGGCCCTGTCCCTCAGCTCTTCAGCTCAAGGCTACTAGTAGCTCTACCACTTGAGCCATAGCACACTTCCAGCTTTTTCTGCTTAGTGGTGCTGAGGAATTGAACCCAGGGCCTCATACATACAAAGCAAG